AGGGTTTTAAAGATTCAATAGAACGCTTTTGCTTAAGCGCAATAGAATGATAGACAAGCTGCGCATGATTCACGGTGGGTAGACTTGACGCAAAGTATACAATTGGCGCGAAAAGAACAGAACAGAATTTTCAATAGCTTTTTCCACCTTTGTTGACAGTTGAGGAAAGGCAAGCATCGGGCCACTTGATGAATGGTGGAACTCTTTCGTCTTTGGGCATTCGGAAATATTTAAGTACGTATTTGTAATATTATACTTTACATGAGTGATAATGGATGGTATGTGTAACTATAGATTACTATTAACTAGTTACATCTTCTCTGTCCTAGCATAGAATGTGTGTTTCCGACCTAATATTGATAACTAAACCGCAGAGATATCTGTCGATTTATTTAATTTTTTAATCATAGTGTCACTATGGTTAGAAAGTATTTTAATAACATTACTTGAAATATTTTAAACGTTTTAAATGAGAATCTCATGGTGAAACATCTTGCCTAGCATTGCATTAAGCGCGAGTGGTCTTGGGTTCGAATCCCGGGGAAATAATAGATTGTTTTAACCATTGACCATTCGATCATGACTATAAAGTCACAATGATTAACTATTACATAAGTTAAGCTTAAAAAAAGAGTTTTATTTAATTTGTACTACTTGCGTATTTTTAACGTTAAAATCATGGCGTAACATTCTATGTATGTAAGGTTCAAAAGTTATTCAGTGAAAAACCACAAAATAAGACCATTGAAATAATTAAAAGGGCAAGTTTGAAGTTGAATGAGGCTTCTCGTTGTTATAGTCACCGAGGTGACAACAGAGGGTCTTGAATGATACACCCATATACTATTACACTGAATATACTCGAATAGTTGAATAAGGTATACACTAATATTAAATAGAAGAGTTTGTTTATTTAACGCGGTAATCACTGGAAAAGCTGGTTCGTAATATAAAATTATTTTTGTTGTTGTTATCTTTCTAAAAACAAATCTGGCTGCCGAAAACTATTCTATACGGACGAAGTCGCTGACACAGCTAGTGAGGTTTATACTAATATTCTAAAGCAGAAGGTTTTGTTTGTTTGAATGCGCTAATCTCAGGAATGGAAGTGAGAGTGAGAGTGGGATTGGGAGTTAGAGTAGGAGCTATGTGAGGTGAGAGTGTTGCGGCAAAGTAGCACTAACAACATAGATTGGCTGCGATAAATGCGCAATTACATAAATTAATAAACAGCCTAAAAAATTAAAAAATTCTACCCCAAGTTACTATTCCACGCGAACGAAGTGACATTAACGCTTTATTAAATACTAGTATTTAATAAAGCTAGGGAAGTTGTTTGAGAAATAAATAATTTGATGTTCAAAAGAACTACACCACGCCGACGATGTCGCGTGCACAACTAGTTAAGAAATAAAAATAGAGCCATTACAAACTAAAGTTTTTACCAGGGTAAAGAATCCGGAAACTAGGTCGACTTTCGTATGTTTGTCGAGATCACCTGGGCGTCGGAGATTTGTGGTTCTTAATTACGACATACCGGGGTCTTGTACGAACTACTATTATGGCTATTACTGCTATTACTAAGAACTATTCAAGTAATGAGATTCAATTAAGGTGAGCAAACAAACTATAAGGTATTCTACTTCATGGAAGGCTACATTCATATAAAACTGTTTTAACGGTATAAAACTCGAAATATATTAAGTTAGCTTATTATCTCTTCTTTCCATCAGAAACAAACATTTAATATGGCAACAAATAAGGTGAAGAACCTCTTTTTAATTCCACATTTTAACTACATAAAAAATATGTTAAAGCAGGACAGACAAAGTGTACCAATTATGTATAATCTATGACGACGGGCTGTCGACTTATTTTGGCTTTGGATATCTATGAAACGTGATAAAACTTCTACATCTGTAGATGGTGGTACGTGGCCTGGACGGAATTTTCGATATCTCTACCTATTTGATATCCAGACTTCCAGACGAAGTGAATGATGAAATCAAACCAACGACCCGTAATTATTAGCCATACATTGCTACTATTGCACTAAGTACGGAGTTACCCTTTTTTCTTCAACCCTTGTCTCTTTAGTTTGCGCTTAGTCGCTAAGCAACTTGCAATGAGGGTAGGCTATAAATATTAGTCATTAAGACCTAACATATAACTTGGTCGGAACCCCTCACCCTAATCTTGAATGTATCATGATAAAGCGGTCGTTTTCCCCCTCAATCTATTATTATCGAAGTCATAAGTAACAAGATCAACAAGTAAAGTGATTTTTTGGTATATTTGATTTATACTTTGCGGAACTTAAGTTAATAATTGTCTGTAGTTTACGCGAGTAGAAAAATCACTTTTTAATTTAACTATGCCCCGATCTTTCGAATGCACTTTCGAAACCTTTCGAATTTTACCCTTTTATAGTACTTTTCTCAAATATTGCGCGGAAATAAATAATTAAGTAAGTATTATATGAATTGTGCTACTATTCAGAACTTAAAAACCTAACAACTAATAACAATAGTTTTTTACGCGCCAAAGTATTTTTTTTATTAAGCATCTTTCTATGTGCCAGCCAGTTCGAAATTGAAATTAAACCTTTGATAAGTTATCTCTTTTGCTGCCATGTTGCGGAATAGAACATCGTTCCATTTTTAAATTGCACGACAAATGTGATTTTACATAGTAATTGTTTTTTTCTTTGGCCGCTAAACACGACAGAAATGGATTTTTAATACAACTATTGCCGGCCACTACTCGACCAGTACAGCAAGTTCCATTTATCTTGAAGAAGGTTGTGAACATAATGCTCAAATGTCCACGTGTGTTTGAAAATAATTGATTTTCCGTCCATATCTAGTATGTATAATACATGCATCCACTTATGGCTGAGAAGATAAGGTTTGCATGTCGCCACTAAGATAAGAACATCGACAGCGACACGAGTTGAAGGAAATTTATACTATATTTAGACCAACTGAGAAGTTCTTATCAATTCAGTAGTTTTGTATAAATGCGTGACATTTATTGCGCATTAATTTTATTGACATACAAGTGATACGTAATCCAGAAACATTAATTATTATAAAAGCTGTTATACTCTTTTTATTACAAAACACAAGAACAGACAAGAAAGTTATTAATCTTAGTGTATTTAAATAAAATAGCATAGTTTGCTGAAAACACTAACAACTAACGTAACGTCGTTAATCGTTCTTTTTACTAGCATTAAAACAGGTTTTAAACGTCAACAAAGAATGTAATTTTTGAATCACAAAAACTTCCACTCAACTAAGTACAGTCTAGCAATCTTTCAAGTTGGTGTCCATAGCTTCAGACGCATTTCACGAACGACGCTTCCATAGAGCATTGACGTGCTGAAAATAAACCGCCATGGTTCACCTTGCTCTGTACAGACGGCGAAATTCACTGGGCATCCAATTCTGGTAGTTCGAGACATTGATATGTTAGCTTGAGGCCGCTAATAGACTTTCGAGTTACTCGCAAGTAACAACATCGTATAATTTTTGTTTATCACGAAATGATTATACTTATTATTATTATAGGTATTTATGAACTGATTGAGGACGCCAATTAAAGGCTGGGTGATCGTTCAGCGCGCGTAAGTTGCATTTTTTTATCTATTCATAATAAAAAACTGACTCTAAATGCATTCTTTATCAATTCAATTTAATTAATTCTTCTAACACACAAATATTATTGTAAATTTTCACAAAGTACACTATTTTCTTTTCTCATCATAATGCTACGGGTAAAGGTCTTTTCTGTTTATTGTCTTTTAAAATTATAAAAACTTGTATTCAATTAAAAAATCTTTTTAAAGTTTAGAAGCGAAGTTTATTATTTAACCGGATAAACTTCCGAAAAGCGCATACCGCCGATCGATCTGAAATTTGGTATACTTATGTATTTTGACCTCCTAATCACGAATATCATAATGAAAATTGGCGCAAACGCCATTTTGAATTTGAAAAAAACCTCTTTTCGTTCAGTGTGCCTAATCAAAAAATTTTCACGAAATGGAATTACTACAGCGGGAAATATTCCCAGGTCGATTAGGAGAACAAAAAACCACTCGAGAATTAGGCTACTATAGCGGGAATAGATCTCAAGTCTATCGACAAAAGCGGCAAATATTTCCATAGGCCGACTATTACAGTAAAAAACATTCTCGGACTTCGACTAATATAAAGAAAAATATACGCAGTTTGTATCTGACAGCCGAAAGTAAATGGAAAATGCAACTACTATAGCGGACCACATTCATGTACCACAGTGGAAAATCACCACAAAGTTGAAATTGTATAGCGGACATGTGCAACGTTTAGGTTATTGGTGAATCAATGAAAATCACACTCACACACACACACACACACACACAAAACGGCCCTTATCAGGGCCAGGAATGCTAGACAGACAACCTCCACGTGGTGCATTGTAGATAACGCGAATAGTCTGCGCTTTTCGGCCATGCAACCTCCAACGCTTTGACGAACTTGGATCACTATGGGTAAAAAATGGTTACACACACACAAACACATACACACACCCTTTTCGGGAAAAGCTCAAATAGTCTACATTGGTTAGAAATGCGTGATTAGACACACTGAACGTAAAGAGGTTTTTTTCGATTTACATATTCAAAACGGCGTTTGCGCCAATTTTCGTTATGGTATTCGTGATTAGGAGGTCAAAATACATAAGTATACCAAATTTCAGATCGATCGGCGGTATGCGCTTTTCGGAAGTACACCCATTTAACCTGCAAAGCATCTGAAATGTCTGATCAGTTAAGATAAATAAAAGACCTTATTTAACCTTCTAATCCGTAAAAATAGTTTTATATAAGTGTCCACTACTCTGTAGTTTAACAGACGATATGTACATGATAAAATAGGAGTTATTTTACGAGACACTTCGTTTACTTCAACCTAGCATTACTTACGTTGAAACTCTGCCAAATTGTACAAGCCATGCTACAAGCGAGTGTAAATAGCAGAATCAGGATCCCGGGCTTGCGAATGCATCGCAGCCGACTCGCTCTGACACACTCCGCGTCGACCGTCCGATTTCTGAACGAATCCGTCAGTACTGAGGTGCCCTCGAGCGAGGCGGCACGTGCGGTGCGCGCCTCGCGTCCTTGCATTGTTTTGGCTGTGTTCACCATTGTTTTATTCCATCCGACCACAATCAATACGGGTTTCGAGTTTTCATCGGCCTATTATTAAATAAGGTTTTTGTACAGACATAGCGATAACTTTGATACGGTGGCTTGACGTGTGAAACGGTTGATCGCGCTGTCCATATACCACGGCGTTTTGTGTTTTGGTACTGCATATGAAACGTGAAGTTTAGTGATTCCAGGAAGAACATGCAAATCGATATCTGGATGCCCAGGGAGTAGCTGGGGGCTCTTGGCGTGCGGTTCGTACCACCGCTGCATATTGATTGGCTCCGTGGTATTTCGAACCCACTGTTTACGGTGAGTTAAAAATATACGAGGGAGCAATTAGTTCATTGTCAATACTGCACAACAACTGCTTTTTCTAACAGTTGAATAAATAAAACAAAGGAGATCTATGAAAAATAAATGTGCGCTAAATAATTCCGTTGCTGCAATATAATAACACGTTATATAGATCCGATAAGACTAATTACATAATTTCTCTGATAACATGACAGATGTGTACGGTGATGTCTTTATCTCCTTTGCACGACACCTATTGTTATGACGCTAGGGTAAAAATAATGGCAGATAATAATAGTAGCCAGGAAGAGGTTTTCAATTAAGATTTTTGAGAACATTTTAACAATTGTCTAGCTTAGCAACAGGAAAAATATTGAAAACAAGTTCTCATGAGTAACACACTGCGAATCCTTGAGATTGTTATTCCCCATGGGACTATTAATAATAACAATATTATTAATAATGACGCACCTCCAGCTGCAATTCCAAGAAGATCACAGTATCAAAACAACCGGTTAGGACAGATAATTGTTTGAAAGATTTCATTTCTGGTTGGGTCTCGTTTTGGTAAAAGTTAATTAAGATCAGAAAAATAATAATATAAAATTTGACGTCCTACATGTTTCCCATTAATTTCGTCAAAAAATTGGGATATGCAAAATGACTAATGCCAAAAAAATACTTAACAGGTAAACAGCTTATGTTGAGATGTTTGTATTTCACATTTCGTGTGTTTTCACCTCTATTCACAAGTAATTTAGCATAGTTTTTTCAACACAAATAAAATCAGATATAACGTATTTCAAGTCATAAGCATTCAATTGAATCAGAACAATAATTTAAACGCAGATGTTTGGTCTTATTCAGGGATGCTGGGTGTAGCTTTCGTACTTGTACAGAAATCCGCTTATGGGAGTTCAGGTGCTCTCAGTCACCTGAGCCCAACCAGTTTTACCAGCTGGGCCTATAAACGCACACGTTGAGATTCAAATCTGTAACGACCATCTGAAAAGTGAGTTATTTACACTACATCATATACATACACATACATATAGGCAATCAAAGTAACCGGAATCCTCCATTAACCATAATTTTATTTCGAGTAGGTAGTACACATTCAAATGCAACACTTTGACGGTTTAAAATGTAAAATACTGTCTATAGTTTACGCAAGTGGTACACATTTAAATAAAACACTTTAACGGTTTAAAACGCGATATATTCGTTAAACTTATTTGGAAATGATTATTAACTTCGGCCCGACGTTTCGGCTTTGCAGCAGCCGCGGTCACGGGGAGACCACGTTTAAAATGTGATAATTACCTAGTTGTTATTTGGAAATTATTTTAACTACAGCCCGACGTTTCGATTGCTTTGCAGCAGCCGTGGGGAGAGTAAAAAGTTAGAGGTTAAAGTGTTTTATTTTAAACACCAAAATGTCTCGAACTTTTTGACATTACAAGGTTGTGTGGCGATATCTCATAATAATAACATTAATGATTATTGAAAATAACTCATAGAATTTCTATTTGTGCTGTCACTATAAACTAAGAACTCAGAAAGGCTGTTTAAATAAACAGATTAGATGAATTTGCTAATTAATTTATTATTATTGTAATTGTAACTGTCAAATTACATCGAAAAAACACAATAGTAAACCGAACCTATAAGAATTGTTTACCCCAATGTTTCCTCAAATTATAGCGTAGATATTTGTTATCCGTTTAATAAATATAATAGTATGGAAAGAGTATCAAACAAACATACATTCTCACAAACTATTTTAATATTAGTACCGTTCAATTGTATTCATTCGAAGCGCTCGAGAATTTTTTAAATAATGAAACCTCACCTTGCTCTACTAAAAGAAGAAATTTCAAATTGACAATGCAAATGACTTAGAAATTCTTCCAATTAACGGTAGAGCATCTCTTTTAATAGAAAGCGCTTCTTCGATTCACAGCGCCTTACGCCGCACATAAATCGTATACCTTGCTTAATATAGGGTGACAATTTTGTAAGTTCGTGCCCAATTAATATTATTTTCGTAGTATCATACTTAGTTACGAGAATCCCTTACTGTAATAATTATAGGTAAAATAGAAATTGCAATGTCAAACTCATAATCTATAATATATAAAGCTGAAGAGTTTGTTTGTATGTTTGAACGCACTAATTTTAAGAAATCGTTCGAGTTTTTTTTTGCACGGATAAGAGGAAAGCTATAGGTTATAAAACATTGCGCTGTTATTAATGGGAGCGAAGAAACAACGGGAATTGTGAAAAAAACGGAACAATTATACATATTTGTGGGAACTCCCGACGCGTACGCTGCGAAACAATCCACAAAAATATATATGAGACAATTATTCTTCTTTAAATGTTAGAAAAAATGTCCGCCACAGTATAAGTCTATGTCTATCGCTTAAGATAAACTCGCAAGATATATATAAAATAACTTTTCTACGCGGACGCGTCTTTCTATATGTATGTTCATAAATATAATATCGATTTACACACAAAGTGATCGATCGATTTGAAATCGATTTACAGACAAAGTATATGTACAACTTGAGTCAATGATTAAACATATCACCCTATAGTACACGAATTATAGTCGCACGAGACGTTCTTGTGGAAAATTGACAGTCTATTGTCTTCTCATCAATGCCTACACTTTCAACATTTACATCGTGGATGATTTTGCTCCTGGTTGGGTGAAGGGATACTGCAAATCAAGTTATGCAAATTTATATTCCTCGTTTGAATACAAAAAACAGTAGTGTGTATTGTTTGTAGTTAACGCGAATGGGACGCAATAAGAAAAACCATTCTAACGGTTCAAAACGCGAAATATATTAGTTAATTTATTTTTTGCTTTGCTTTGCAGCAGCCGTGGTCACAGCAGGACCGGTCCGAAATTTCGGGTTATAGTTAAAATACATTTAAAATAAGTAATTAATATATTTCGCGCTTTAAACCGTTTTATTTAAAAGTATTATACATATATAAATCTTTAGTTGGGCATATATCACATACTGGTTGAATCTTTTGATGTATCGTTCTCAAAAGAATTTGTAGGTACTTTTCAATAAAATCATTTATTCTTTAAGCATCAAACGTACCTACCTAAGTAAATTGTGTTCGTTCGAGTGTGTTTTATCTCTACGCATACCTGTGTCCTGATTCATTCCTTTTCGTTTTAAAAGGGAGGTGTTGTGGAGTTCCATGGATTTTGAATCATCGCAGGGTAAAATGTTTCTATCTCGCTGGCTACAAGTCTGAACAATTTGCCGTTTGAATAAAAAACGTTTAACAGTTTAAAACGCGAAAAGTAGCAGTTCACTTATTTACAGACGTAACTTACACGTTTACTTCTTTGTGTGGTCCCCCGTGACCACGGCTGCTGCAAAGCATCTGAAACTGTAGGCCGTATTTAAATTTAATTTATAAGCTAAATAATACATTTCGTGTTTAAAACCGTTAAAAAAAATATTTCCAATGTAAACTACATACCTACCTGCAAATAGAATCAGAGAATATACTAAGACATGTTTTTATCACATACATCATCGGGATTCAACTTACTCGTGTCCAGTTATTATATAATATCATTAATAATTATTAAATTAAGCGTTAAATAGAGGCGTGATTTATTTCACATGTCGTTAAATTGTGACCCTCGGCTTGCTTAACGGCTCTGCAACTTCAAACAAATGTTTAACGGACTTCAGATCTATTTTAAACTACCGTAAGAAAAGTAAAACAGTAATGTCCAGTTATCTGTAAAATTGAGTACACGCCTGTAACAAATCAATGTTGGTAATTACTTCGCTGCGATGAGTTTTGTATTAGAATTAGGTCTTTAGGTGAGTATAAGATATTAGAGGTTTATTATTATAGACTAGAGGCAAGCCGTATTTTGAACCGGGAAGAATCAAAATAAATTACAATGAATCATAGTAAATGTTGAAATATTATTAATAAAAATGTATTAGATTGAACTCACGTCACCTCAAAACACCGTCTTATCGGATGCTTAAGTCATAGAAAAAACAGCCTTCAGACAGTATAGGCATTGATGTATCAGTTAAGACGATCATTGTAGTTATATCATTTTTAATATATAGTACTATACTGACTTAGGTATATAATGATATATGTATGGCAATTTTTTAGTGGTGCATATAAATTTTTTATATGTCCCAGATTTGATAAATATCGATAATGCCAGTTTACGTAACATATCCGTGTCAGGTCAAAATAATCTTATCAACAGTATTATCGTGTCAAATTGATTGAAGAAAGCGAAAAACCCGTTTTACAAATGTGAAAAAAAAAACTAAGTTTTTTATATAGGCCATGCGGTAACATATTTACGTGTCACTGTTCAATTCAATTTAGACAGCTAGTATGTCCAAACTTGACCAAGATTATTCTTGTTTCAATGGTTTATTTTAAGAGTCCAGAACTTTCAAGTTTTAGTAAGAAAATCAATTTGAATCGGTTTATCGCTTCAAATTGTCTCCTCAAAGGAACGATAAAGTGACCTCGTTTCTAAAACTGTCTTGAATGATAGGTTTTGAATTTCGTGAAGGTTTTCTCCAGGTGATCTATTTTAGGCACAACAAATATCGTTTCGCAATTGCTTAACACAACATAATCTGTAATATTGTGTAATGGTTATAATAATTTTAAAACACAGGTTTTACGCTTCGATTATCATTACGCTATTACATTATTGCTTGTCATACAATTACCAGTTATATGTTGTTGAATCGACGTATGACCTAGTCTAGGTATTGAACGAAACCTTATTTGTATAAGTGTACTGTCAAAACATTTGTGTTTGAGATAAATCCAACATGGAATAGTTCTGCCGTTATCCCAGTCCCAGTTGTGGGAACTACTTTACTCGATGTAAGAACTTACAAATGTATATGAATTAAAAAAATATTGTTATGATAAACTTTTATTGACATAATGGTTCCCGTTAGTAGGCTGACCAAACGGTA